CCCAAAATTCAGACTTTTTCTTGGTCTGATTTTTATTTGTTTATTTGTTTATTGGAAAAATTAATCAAAACTGCATAATTGTTATATAAAGACAAAGAAAAAACATTTTGAGGATAAATAAACGATCCCAAAAAGTGTATTTAATTTAAATGACCCGTACATTTTTACAAATTACAAAAACACAAATTACTGAAACCAATATAATTACCATTTTTTAATAGTTAAATAATTGTTATCTTTGCAAGCAACCAATCTTCGTTCAAAGGAATTTACATATTTGTTTATTTGTTTTTTGGTAATGGAATTCCAACATTTTTGAACTTCTTGAAAAACGGTTTCAGAAGACATTCCGGGTTGGATTTTAACATGCTGTTTCAAATAAGACCAAATTGTTTCAATAGGATTAAGATCTGGACTATTTCCAGGCCAATTTTCTAACAGATTCAAGTTGTTTTCTTTGAAATAATTTATAGTAGAACGTGCTTTGTGGGGAGGTGCGCCATCTTGCATAAATTGACAGTTCTTATTTCCAGCTTTTTTCATTTGATCTATCAATTTGTTGTTTTTGAACATTTCAATATAAACAGCAGAATTGATTTTCCCTTCAAGTTTGATAAGTTCACTTTTGTAATTTTGCCCAATAATTCCAAACACCATAACACTTGGTGCATTTTTAACTAAATTTCTGTAATAACTATCCTTATCAGTTCCATTTTCAATCCAAATTTTAGGAGTACGGTCGTTGGTGTAACAAAAACGACATTCGTCACTAAAAAATAAATATCGTATTCTTTTCCTTGTTAATTGTTTGTTGTGATTGTCAAATTCCCTGATCAATTGAAGTTGTTGATTAACAAATAATTTTCTGTCGTTTCTGTTTTTCGTGGTAAGAAGTGGTCGTTTTTTCATTGTTTTATATGAAAATCCACATCTTTTGCGAATCCTGTGAATCGTTGATTTGCTTACTTCAAATCCATAAAAACGTCTGATTGAATTGGCACATTTCACTGTGCTTTCTTTTATGTGCTTTCTGGTTCGTTTGATAATTCTTTCTTGTATTTCAACTGATATTTTTGGACGACCTCTTTTATACAAAACAATATTAGGATAGTTTTTCAATGCTTTGTATATCCTTTCCTTTCCAGGGGGATCAAGTTTGTTGTTTTTAAACTCTCTTATTATTTCATTTGGGGTGTTAATAGAAGCTTTAATGCATTCAAAAATATTATATTCCTTCTCTAAATTTCGATTCAAATGGATTCGTTTTTGAATGTTTTCATAAAACACTGGCAATGAACTAATTTTTAATTCAAGTGATGCAATTCTTTTTACCAATTCATTTTTGCTTTCACCATCGTAGTTAAGAGGTAAACTGAATTTTTTATAGACACCAGTGTTGCCAAACATAACTGTACAGCCAATTTCTTCAATACTGAAAGGACCATTTGAAAGTAATTCGAGTTGTCTGAGTTCATCTTCTTTAAAAGATTCGATAAAAGATTCACAATAATCTTCATAGTAAATTTGTGATAAAAAGAAGTTTGGTAGTTTTTCAAACGCTATTTCACCGTTCCGCATAACGCTTATAGCTTCAGTGACAGTCAATCTATCCATAAAACTGTTTTGAAAAAATAAGATTTAAATAAAGCAATGTGAATAATCCAACTCATAAATGAGTTGAGTGATTCGCTTTTTAATTAACTTTGAAACGACTTTGAGTCACTAACATTATCTTTTGAGTTTAATATGCTTTAAAAATCCATCCATATGTTTCTAAAGTCATTGGGGGAATAAAAACAATGACGAAAAACAAACTCACATAAAATGTATCATTCCTTTTGTATAAATCCCGTTTAAAAATGATTATTGTGTATTACATTATTTGGTTTCAATTCTCAAAATGGATTTTTCCAAATAGTTGCTTTTATGTAACTTTATGCATATTTGAGTTTTCTTATTTTACGAATAATTCAGACCAAGGCACTTCGAAATTCTTTGGTCTGAATTTGGTCTGAATTAATTAAGGTCGGCTCCCGAGTAAACTTTGAAGAGATTCTTATTAAATTAACTCAAATTAGCTTGTTTTTGTGTATTTATTTACTTAGAGAAAATTATTTTTCCTGTTTTTTCTTTGGTCTGATTTTTGGGAAGAAGTATATAATGATTAATTATTTTAAAAAAAAATCAAAACTTTTATTTTAATTGTTTTTACAGAAAAATATATTATAATCAAAACAAAATAAAATACATCGATTTTTAATTTTTAAAAAATTAAACGATCAGACAGTCACTATTTTTATTTTTCTTTTGAATTTCAACATATTTGCATTTATCAAAACTTTTATTACCAACAGAGTTCACGGTGTTTGGGATACCAATTTCAAGATTTTTACAATACCTAAAACATTCATTTCTTATATATTTAACAGAACTTGGGATGCGTATAGTTTTAAGTTTTCTACATTGATAAAAAGCTTGATCCCCAAGTTCTTGAATGTTAGTTGATAAAATAACGTTTTTAAGTGAATAACAATATTTAAAACAGCCTTTTCCAACACAAATAACTTCGTTAGGAATATTAATTTTATTTAGTTCGAAACATTCGGCAAAACAATTATTTGGTAGATTTTTTAATGAAGAAGATAGTGTGATGGACGACAATGAAATACAAAGCATAAAGCAACGACAACCAAGTTCAGACACTGTATTTGGTATATTAATTTGTTTTAATGATTTGCAACACATAAAGCATTTTGTTCCAATAGTTTTAATAGCTCCTTTAATAGATACACACATCAATTTTTCACAAAAACTAAAAGCGGATTCTTCGATATCACCATTAATATTAGGCACTTCAATGGTTTTAAAATTGCAATTGAAAAATGCACAACGTTTGATTGAACCGAGTTTTGATGGAAATGTAACTCGCTCAAGGCTTGTGCACGTATCAAAACATTGAGCAGGAATTTCTATCAAGGTTTCAGGCAGTTTTACAGAAATCAACTTTAAACACCCATAGAAACAACTTTCTCCGATTTTTGATACGTTGTCTGGTATCTCAATTGACTCCAAACAAACACAATTAGAAAAACAGCATTCGCCAATTTCTTTCTAATTCTTTGAAAATGTAATTTGAGATAATTTATCAATGCCATTAAAACATAGTTCGTCGAGTGCTATCACATTGTTTGGAATGTTAAACTCGACGCGTTCAGTTTGTTTAAACGCGCCAATTCCTAACTTTTTGACATTAAGAGGAATATCTTCTCCAAATGTTAAAACATCATTTATTGTATATACTATGTTTTTGTAACACACTTTGTCGTTTTCTGAAGTTTTGTACATTTTGTAATCCACTTCAAACCACACATTGATTTTAAAAAAGTTAAATGTCGCTTGTGAAATTGGTTTCTTTTCATTTAAAAGATCATTCCCAAACGTTTCTTCGTGTTTATTCCAAACGTTAAGTGTTTCTAAATTGTCGAAAAACTTAATAGTTTTTGTTGTGAGTGGAATTGGATTGTTGTGAAACTTTTGAATATTTCCTTTAAATTTGTTGCAAACAAATTCCAAATTGACGAAATCTTCAATTGATGTCAAATATTGCGAAACTATCATCATATGAAAGCTATCAAGCTTGTTCATTGATAAATATATTTTTAAAAAAAAATACAGTTTTATATTTTTAATAAAAGATTTTTTGTGATGTTTAATTTACATTGTTTAATAGTTTCAAATAATAATTTATACTATAATTGATAATATATATTCTTTTGTATTTATAAAAAAACTATAAATATCACTACAAATTAATTAAATGGAAAGAATACAATACGCAAGCGACTTGCATTTGGAATTTGATGCAAACTCAAATTTTATTAACCAACATCCCCTTGTAAAAACAGCTGAAATTTTGGTTCTTGCGGGAGATATCACTGTTTTCGACTTATACAATAAAACAGATTTTTTTAAGTGGTGTAGCAAAACGTACAGACAAACGTACATTGTGCCTGGAAATCACGAATATTATAAAGGACGTTATGTTGACGAGACATATACGCTTACAGAAGATTTATATCCAAATGTTACCATCGTAAATAACACATCCGTTGTTATCAATAACACACAAATCTTCTTCACCACATTGTGGAGTGACTTGGATATCGAAAATGAATTGTCCATTCGAATGAAATTAAATGACTTCAAGAAAATAAAATGGTTCAAAAACGGGAACAAAACACGAAGTGACAAAAATGAAAATGATGAAAATCAGGACAACGAGAAAGTTGAGTATCGGACAGCTTTTTCAGTGTGTAAAAAGTGGCTTGAAAATGAACTTGGAAAATCGACTTCACAATTCAAAGTTGTAGTAACACACCACTGTCCTATCATGGACCTTACTTTATTTCAGAAAACATACTTGACAACTTGCTTTAATGTTGATATGAAATTTTTAATGGAGAAGTATCAAATACACTACTGGATATATGGCCACACACACTCAAATTTTAAAGATTTCGAATACCATGGGTGTATAGTTACTTCAAATCAATTGGGATATATAAGTTACAAAGAAGGAGACACGTTTTCGGCGACAAAATTTGTTCCAAAACCACAGAAAGAACTAACTTGTTGTTTGTGTTAATTGGGTTTAAAATTTATGTTAATTCAAAATAATTCTATTTTTAATAATTAAAAGGTAGATATTAACCCTTGGAGGACGGGAAAAATCAAAATTTGTAAAAAATAAAAATCTTAGTCAATTTTGATGTAAATGTGACTTTTTTTTTGATTTTTTCAAAAAAGCCAGACACCCTGGAACGACAGCTCTAGTATATTTTTATAGTAAATTGTTATAAATTATAGTAAAAAAAGTGAATTTTTTGTTGAAGTTGGGATGAACTAAGGTTCACTTTTTTGCTTGATCCTTTCAGAAACAAGTCACGGTTCAATGGAAAAGTCAGATCAAACATTTATTGAGATGTCCACAACTAATTACGATAATAAAATTAATTATAAAATATAACAAAGACCAAATTGCATCATATAACATACTGGTATGGAATATTCAAAATCAATTACATCATAAAATAACAAAGAAAAGAAAATAAATAACAGACTTTGAGGTGTCTTGTAATTTCAATATGCAATTGATCTCAAAAACAATAACAAGGGAAAATAAATAGATTTTTTGTAAACTTTGAAAAATACAATAATTTAAAAATTGGGTTTTACTATTTTTTTGTAAAAGAAATAAGATAAAACGAAAAGACACTTTTGTTTGTTCCGACTTTGAAAAAATAAATCTTAAAGAAAATAAGTGTAAAATAAACAAAAAATAACTAAAATACATTTTCAAAAGTATCAAAAATCGCAGAATCGAGAAAAATTTATAAAATAAACTTTAACAATAAAAATAATAGCGTCTAAATAAACTTTGATCACCACGAGGTTCTATGGTCATCTATTGAATTTCACGTCGTGCCACTGTCGAGGAAGCAAGATATGAATTCATTGTTTGTAATTGGTATATTTTATCATTTTCAAACAAAAACAAAAGGCAAAACGTGTTTTATGCAATATATTAAGAATATAAAGATTTGTATTTGGTAAATAATTGTTTATTTTGCAGCCACTGTTTATTCATTTTCAAATTATGCATTTTTGGGCAACAAACAAAAAACTTATAGTAAATGTATAGAGATAATCAAAAACAAAGAAAAACACAAGTGTAAAGACATCACAACTAAAACCAATGACAACACTTTAAACTATAATTAATAATAAAATAAATCAATACATTGTTAAAATTAATAATGTTATTTATAATAGTTTTGAAATTATAATTGTTATATATTATAGTAACAATCAACAGACATTATTTTGACACAATAACACATCAACAATCATATCTATACTACAACGTGATTTCATCGATGTGATAAGTGATCACATTGATATAACAATGTTGTGTAATTAAAACTAAATTGTATTTTATGTATGATTATAACAAAAATGGTATAATCACCCGTATTTATAATGTTATCATTATGGAAGATACATAGTGTTTGGTAATAAAGAGCGTTTTGACTGAAAAAATATATTTCGAATTTAAAACAAAACAAATAAGCATTTAATTTATATAAACGGAAACACACTGGTTTAGTGAATGATCAATAAAATGATTACATGTGATATAATTGATGTAGTTGTTATATAGATAACAATTTAAATTATTTGAATGTTAGAATTGATTACAAACTATATTTATAATATTATTTTACCATTAATAATAAAGAGTCTAAAATAATAATAATAAAATAATAATTTATTTTTCTAATTACAATAATGTTAAAATAATGTTATTTAAACACACCAAATAACAAAAATATGATAAAAATTATTGTTTTAAAAGGATAATTTTAAAGAATATTTAAAATTAACGACTATCTGTTATTCCAAGACAATGGATCAATGAGAAATAGGCAAACAAATAATACTTATAATATTATTAATAGTTATAGTTAAAAATATTAGATAATTTACTATGTATTGTTTATTTGATTGATTTTGTAACGAATTGTGTTTTGTGTTTTTTAATAGTTTTTTTGTTAAATTTTTTAAAAATAAATACAGCAAGGTTACTCTTTTTGTTTAATTGTTTTAATGCAAGACAATTATAGTTATTTTTAATTAATGAATACTATTTTAACAAATTAAATGCAAAGAACATTTTTGCGTTTTTATTTGGAGATTGCTAAACAATATAATAGTTTAAATTATTTAAAAGTACTAATTAAATCTTACATAAAACAACATCACTTTTTACAAAACAAAAAAATTTGTGATAAAACAAAGAAAATACTTGACATAAATTTGAATTAACACTATAATTGAGTCAGTTATTTCAAGATTTGTTATAGATCAATTTATAGTTTAAAGTTGCACTATTTTAAACAACAATGTGCAAACCAATTTGTAATCAAAAATTATCATTTTTTAATCCTTATATCCCGAAAAAACATTTGAATATCTAATAAATATCATAAATCAACATTAAATAATTGTGTGAAATATCACACAAATTTCTTGTTTATTTTTAAATTAAAATTCAAAAAATAAATAGTTACTTATTACTATAAATAACTTTGCCGCCTTGCATTTGATTTGACAAAAAAATACAAAAACCTGCTTCATCATCAGAACTCGAAAAACAAAACAAATTTTCAAATAGCGAAGTTATTACCATTGGAAACGAGAGATTCAGATGCCCAAAGCACTCTTCCTTCCATTCCAATCTAATGAGGTTTCTCACTCCCACCCGCCATCCTCAGAATTGATCTTGCTGGTCGTGATCTTACTGACTACCTCATGAAGATCTTGACTGAGAGATGTTATGCTTTCACCACAACTGCTGAAAGAGAAATTGTCAGAGACATCAATGAGAAGCTCTGCAATGTCGCTTTTGACTTCAACGAAGAGATGCAAAAGGCCGCCTCATCATCAGAATTCGAGAAGTCACTTTAATTTCCAGATGGTCAAGTCATCACCATTGGCAACGAGAGATTCAGATGCCCAGAAGCACTCTTTCAGCCATTATTCCTTGGTATGGAAGTATCAGGTATTTACGAGACAATTTACAACTCAATCATGAAATGCGATGTCGATATCAAAAAGAACTTGTACGAAAACATCGTTTTGTCTGGTGGAAAATCAATCCAAAAATCAACGACAGACAAGAGAAGGAAAAAGTTGCAAATGAAAAACGAATAAGTATAATCAAAACTGTTCATGCTTGGCTCAATTTAATTATATTTGTGTAGGTGTTCATTTGGTTTAGTTTTAATATTATTATAATTATTGTTATAATCAATCATAATATATATAATAAATTTACTATCAGTTATATTATTCAAAGGTTGATTTTTTATAGTTTATTTATAATTAAAATTACTATACAATTTATTATTCTTTTGTCACGCATTGTATAATGTATCCAAAACTGCCATTTTTCTCGACTTAAATTGATGCTTTATAGCGTTGTTTTACCATAAAAAATTATTAATTTAATGTTATTGTTGTGTACATACAATAACACATAATATTAATGGTAAGTAGTGGGTTTTTATCGTAATATTTTGATGTTATTTGGTTCTCTAAGTATTTTTAGTTTGAGTGGAATCCATTTTTTATTTCAACAACAATATTTTTGTTATGTTCTTATTTTATTTTGGTTTGAACCAATCTTATTGGTTATATTGAACCCAAATTGTTGCACTTGTTTTA